TTGCGTCGTTGATTGATTAGTTTAGTTGTTTGTGTCGATGTGTGAATCCAGTCCCAGATCATCAAATTGTGACCACTTTGATGGGGCTCCTAAATTTTAGCAAGTGGAAGTTAGGAAACAAAATATTTCTACTTATCTACCGTGTCTGGAGTAAAATCTACCGTGTCTACTATTACTTGCAGCAAAAGAAAGGGCAACGAAGAATTCACAACTGGCTTCAGATATTCCTGATTTGGCCTAGGATCTGTTTTGATTGATTTGACCTAGGATATCCTTGTTAACTCGTGTGTTTCAGAGTTTTATGGATCAGGGTTGGTTACACGAACCAGCCTGTGGTTGGATGGTTAAATGGACAGTGGTATCCCAGCCCACTAGAGTGGGTGGTGGGCTGGTTAATCAACACTTTTTAGGGGGGGCCTATGCATTTACCGTGGTTACCCGAAATTACCGTGCATTTTCAGCTCCAATTTTTCCGTACGAAGTGTCTAATTTTATGTAGTTTTTTAAAAGAAGGCCATCATGGCTAGCTTGTATGAGCAGTTCTTATTTATCGCCCAAGTCATGTTTGTGGACCAAACGCTCACCCCCAGGTGTCGCTAGGTCGACGTTTGTGGACCAAACGCTCACCCCTTGGATTAGTATCATTTTATAATTTTCATTTTCGTTTTTCATTTTTTATGTTTTTTTTCATTTCTCCTTTTCCTTTTATTTTTCATTTCACAACATTTACCCAAATTCATGAACATTAATTTAATCATGAACAATTTTTGTTCTCCAAAATTAAAAAATCATCAAATTAAAAAAATGTTCATCAATTTAAAAAATGTCAATCGAATTAGATAAAAAAAATCATCAAATTCTAAATTTCATCATCAAATATGAAAAGTGTTCATCATATATTAAAAAATGTTCATCAAATTTAAAATTAGTTCATCAAATTGAAAAAAGTTCGATGATTCAAAAACTATTCATCAAAATTAAAATAATGTTCATTTTATAAAATTCTTGCACACATTTTGAATAGTTCTTAAAGTTCATGAACATTATTTTGAATCCAAAACATTTTTCCAAATAAGTGATTTTTTTGAAATTTAGAAAACTAGTTAAAATTTATGAAAATTTTTAATTCTGTTTTTAAAAATAATTTTATGAATATTTTTTCGAAATCATGAACAGTTTTTGAAATTCCAAATTTGATTTAAGGAAGCAAAAGAAAAACGGATGAGAAAAATTGGGCATTGTGCTGGTCGATAAATAGGAGGTCCAGCTCACACGTGCAGATGGCTGGCGGGTCTGTTATCTTTGTGAATTATAAACCAAATCAATGCAAACATGATTTTCGGTATTGCTAACATTTATGGGCTGATGATTTTTTCCCAATTAATATTCAGGTCTATTATAAATGTGTGTGAGTGCGATGTCTTTATTCTGAATTATAGGTAGCTACAAAGAAATATTGGCGTCGCGGTATGTATGCATACCAAATATTAGTCTCATGCCGATTTTATAACCAAAAAACAATTGTCCTTTTCATTACCAGATAAAATTATTGGAATGTGCCATGTGGAATATAGTTTCAAAAATTTCGTCATGGGGTGAAAAAATATTATTTTTATCTAGACACTTAGAGCGGAGTGCATTTTCAAAATTTCAGGAATAATTTTGCATATGCAAACTGAGCGTAGCTCAGATAGTTAGGTTTTTTATGGTGGAATAGCTCAACAGGGCTCAAGTCCTAGACTTGACACTGGTGTACGCATTTTTCCTTTATTTATTTCAGCATTTCTGGTGATGTTCGTTTAGTGGGAGAAGATGTTTCCATCGAGATGCTTATATGGACAAGGTGTGTGTGTGTGTGCGCGCGCGCGCGTTCATGATGAGTGATACTCGTTCAGTGGAATGAGATATTCCCGTTGACTACGAGACGCATGTGGTAACTTCGTCAATCTCAAGATGTTATGCCGGGTCAGTATTTTGAAGGTGCTCATAGAGATAAAGTATGTGTGCACGTTTTCATAGAGATGAAAGTATGCACATGTATTATAAGTGTCTGTGATTGTACTGTGTTAATTTTTTATATTTTGTATATGATGATCACATATTTTTCTGCCCACGGTGTGTGGTTTCATGCTGATTTTTCTGCCCACCCGCAAGGGCAACAAAAAGCAAGCGAACGCACGCTGGGAAGCAATTGGGTTAATTTTATTGAACGAGCAAAAGTTAACATCACTATAAAGAAATATCACTGCGCGTTAGTTTTTATGAACGTCCAAACGTTCCCTGCTGGCCCATCTGGCACACAAAGCAGTCAGTCCAAATACAGAAAAAAGTCGGGCACAGCCCATTGCGTTACACTCAGAAGAAGCCCAAAAATAAACAAACAAACAAAAAACACTGTTCTGAGGAGCCCATGCTTTGAGCGCTCCCCAATGATAGAAAATGCATTGGGAAGGCACAATCGGCTATCTCCCTCTTAATTCCCCCAACTTCAATGAGCTGAGTGCATGTACAAAATAAGGAGCCCATGTGTTGAATGTTATTGGGCTTGATTCCCATGTGATGAGAGAGAAATATATTTTTCTACTTTATGCATTGGGAAGATTTAAGTACTCTTTTGTGGAAAAAATTCAAATGCTAAACTTACACTTATTTGAGGACAAATGGAGTAGGTAAGTTCATTTACGGTGCTATGCATGTAGACGTTTCTAACATGACATGCTACATACTAGAAGTTGTTGCGCGCTTTGCTGCGCCGTTCTTCTTCTATGAGTTCTACTTTTTTATGGATGTACCATGATTGGTTGTTGGGTTTTTGGCCTTAATTATGCTGGGCCGATCCATTAGTACAGGTTAGCTAGATTTCATTTCTTTTATTATTTTTACATGTGTTTTCTTACTGAAGTTCTAAAAAATAAGTAAATGTGTAATCAATTTCAAATGGTATTTTAGAAAATGCCCATGAACTTTTAAAAAATATGCTTGTATATTTTGAAATATGTTCATGACATTTTATAAAATTTTCATATGATATGTTTGCACATTTTGAATAAATGATCATAAATTTAAAACAAGTGTTCAATTTTGAGAAGTGTCCATGCTTTAAATATGTCCATGCATTGGAAACATGCTCATATAGTTACAAACCGTGTTCATCTCAATAAAAAGTTACAAACCATGTTCACGTATTACTTAAAATGTATGCACATATTTTAAAAGTCATACAATCTAAAAAGTATTCATTTATCTAGTAAAAAAGTTCATGTTTTGGAGAAATTTTCATGGAATTTAAAAATAGTTTGTGAGGCGTTTAAAAAATGTTCACACTGATTTTGAAAAGAAATATTCATGAAAAGCACAATTTTTTTTGAAAATTTAAACAAAAGTAAAAGAACATACTCCCTCCGTCTCTAAATATAAGTCTTTTTAGGGATTTCAATATAAACTACACACGGATGTATATAGACATATTTTAGAGTGTAGATTCACTCATTTTGCTCCATATGTAGTCCCTTATTGAAATCTCTAAAAAGACCTATATTTAAAAAGGAGGGAGTATATTTGACAAATA